CCATGGCAAACCTATACCAAGAGCATTACTTTAGGTTACAAACTCTCTCCTGAATTATATTATTATAAATTTTCTGACGTTATTTATAGCTCGTTAATATTGACAGGCCATTTTTTGCTTTTAGTCTGTATTTAATAAACGTTTTGTTTTGGACGGTTGTGCATAAAACCTTACAAAACTCCACCTTGTGTGAGTCCACCTGATCCTGACTCCAAACAGCTGAATCTCGCAACGGGAACACGGCTGGCCTTGGTCCAACTCCAACGCTCTTCTATTGTGGTTTGTGCCGTCTGAAGGATAAAACGGCCCGAGGCCGAATCGAGCGAGTTAACGACACACTGCTCGATTCATGAGAACTCGTTCATTCAGGGTGAGCTGGAGGGGAAGAATGGTGGGCGGGGGGAAGAGGGCCTGGTGCTAACAGGTCGGATATGCAGCTAAAGGGGCAAAATTCCAGCGTGGACAATGGGATTTCTTGTTCCCATGTGCTCCTTAATGAAGGGGTGTAGCTGCGTGGGTGGGGGGTGCGGGGCAGGGCTGAGGGTGAGTGACGACGGAGAAGAAGACAACCTGACCCTTATCTCGGTGTCCTCAGGCCGGCCTGTGTCCATCAGCATCCCCTCTCCCGTCCTCAGAACATTTTTCTTTTCATTTTTTCAGATTCATTCCCAAACCCCTTTTGTTTTGTTCCCTTTTGTTCCAAAGACTTTATGGAAATAAAATAAAATTTGAAACCTTGGACTGGCTTCTCTGTTGACCATTAACTACTTCTTGTTTTGGTTTCAACTCCAAAAAACAAGAACATCAGACACAAGAGAGTTCCAGCCCTGTTGAATCCAAACAGCCCGTTTCTGGGAACGAACTGAGCTTAAATTGAACAAACTTTTATTTTTATTTTTTATGCCTGTTTTTATGGCGCCACTGCTGCCATCAGAGCTAAAAATAGCCGCCGGAAGAGGCGAGTTGTTCCGTGGGGAAGGAAGATGCCAGGCGAGCCAGGACTCTGGCAGGAAATGCGAGCAGACAGGCATCGGGCACGGAGAGCCTTCACCGCAGTCATCCTCAGTGAACGTCAGACGGTGGTTAGAAAATCAACAGAGGATCCAACTGAATGTTCGTGGCAGCCATGAAAACCTCAAAATCACCGCCATCAACGAAGTTCTACAATTGATTAGCATCTGAAATCAACCCTGGTCAAGATGGCCGCCACAGCCAAGAAATGTTAGCAAAACAATTAGCAGTCACTTAGCCATGTTTACAGATACTGGGCTGAAATTTGGTGTGGTAGAAGCTTTGAATCATCTCCCAAATCTACTTTAAGCACTATGTACTGCACAATATGTTGTCTAAAACTTTGGGAATAATTGTGGCCCTGTTTGTGTTAGCAAAATATTTCATGAAACACTGGACTTATTTTAATGAAACGTTTAGGACGTAATCATCATACGTATGTCTAGAAATGATTAACATTTGACGTAGAGTCAATTCAAGATAGTCACCACAATTAGCAAACCCAAAAATGGCTGTGATGCAATTGGTTTTACAGATATTGAGCTAAAATTTGGAGGGGTAGTAGCTGAGAGTGATCCTTAACATATACTCTGTAATTTCTCAACATACTGTAACATAATTTTAATTTAGTTTAGTTTTTTTTGTGTTATTGACACATGGACATCACTGTTTTAAGTTACAATGCATTCTGGGTAAATGATGTAGACAGGTTGCTCTGTTCAACGTGAATGTTAGTTTTGGACAATATCTGATGTTTAACCCTTTAATTAAAACCAGAGCACATTGACAGAGAGAATGGAGAAATGACTGCGGTTTCACATTAGCATCCAAGCTAATATATTAACTCCAGAGCAAACATATATAACTTTAGAGCCACAGCTAATATATATCACGTTAGCCCGAGCTAATATATATCACGTTAGCCCGAGCTAATATATATCACTTTAGCCCCTGAGCTAATATATATCACTTTAGCCCC